TGCTGCTGATTTGCTTGAGAAAAGAGAAGTATTTGTGCGATTAAATAGAGACGAAACGATAGTAGTGCTTCCCTTTTTTAATCTCATAACAGCACCCTACTCTTCATCATGATCTTCTTCAAGATTGTCTCAAGTTATCCGATGCCGCAGCTACGACCCATTTTTGACGAATGAGATAGTATGTTCTGACCCATACTCACAGTCCGGTCGGGGTGTGGTGCGTTAGGAGCGAAATGGTCGCGTCGCGGTGAGAGGGGCGTCGCGCGCGAAGGAATGTACCAGGATGCAGCAGTGGGTAAGAAATACAAGAACAAAAGCACTAATAGTAGAATTATGCATAAAATAATGATCGCATATCGATTGAGCTGTATGAAGAACGCTAGAGCTGTAATAGCGGCGAATGAGTGGTCCGTGACAGCCGCGTGCGGCGAATCGATTACCCAAAATCTTTCTTAACGCCCATCTCCAGTCTGCACGGAAGGAATGAGGGGGCGGGCGAGGGATGGGGTGTGGGGATAGTGGGAGGGTGAGTAGGGGCGCGCTTACTCAGATGAGACTTATATGTAGCTACATACATTACTTTTCTCCAAAGAAACTTCTAGTTGAGGAATTAGGCTTCTGATACGAGGAAATTCGTAATTGCATCAATGCCTTCCAGTCAAGTGTAGTGTTCAGGCATGCCTAAAATCTTTACAATTCAAGAAAATAAGGAGAATGAAGAGCCACCACAAGAACTTGAACAGATGGTACAAAAACAGGTAAGCTGAACTGAATTGTTAGGCTTCTAGCTTCAGAAGGCGTTTTAGAAGGGTTGGACCTGCCCAGTCGCAAAACGGTGAACCTGAGGTTCTCCCACCTTCCGGCTTTCCCAAGAAAATCAATTTACAGAAAACTTTATTTTCAGATATTAATGGAAGAAGCCAACGAAATTCCTATCGTTGTGATGCACGAAGAAGAAGTCCAGACTGATGGTTTAGAAATGTTCGTCTTTACTTTTTTAATCTGTATCGATTGATTTACTGCTAAAAATTGCTGATGAAGGTCAGACAAAACGGAGCAGACCATGGAAACACTGGTGGAACATAGCTCGTGTCAAACGGAAGAGCTGAAGAGTGAAAGTCAGGAACAGGAAGTACAGACCGAAGCCTCTCAACTAATCAACGCTGAAGCTCAAACAACGATTGTCGAAGTGACCGACGAGGAAGTGATGACAGCGATGTCGCATCTTATGGTATGCACTACCTTTTTCAATGGGTAAGGGACTATTCCACAGGGAACTTTTCCAGGATGCACCCTGTCAAACGGAATCCTTACCGACAATGGATCAGATTTCACAGACGGCTCAACCTGAACAGATAGACGCTGAGGTAGCCACAGAGATCGAGACAAAAAATGCACGTATCCAGACACCGTGTCCAGTTATTACAGAGAGAACCATTCAGACCGAAGACCTGGTACGTTTGATGAAACTAGCCAACCCACCTTTTTCGGTTTTTCTCGATTTTCTGGGTCCTCTTCAAGAACACCATTCTTCGGCCCAATCATTGACATTTCGATTCAGGAAGATCGAAAATCCCCGTCAAAAATGTCATCAGCCCGGAAACGGATACGTCGGGCTTTTGCCAAGAAGAAACCAGCCGGGTCGTCGTTACATGGTGATATGCCAACTATGAGCGATTGGAAGGTGGGTACTACTTGCTTCGAGCAAGACCCCACACTCTCAGACCTTTGTTGAGGAAAACGCAGGTTATACAGGTGTATTGGGTGCATCGATTCCTCGACTATACGCTCTGAGAGGAATTTATCGAAATCTTACCTGAAGACTTTAGAAAGCCAAATCCCGGCAGCGGATACTTTGGTAAAGCAAACGGGTGGCAGGCAAGCCTCTGGGATTGCAACTCCCAATTTATGGTGGGCTCACTTGTCACTCCTCTCCCACGTGGGTGTGTTAGAACTTTTCCATATTCAACCTAACGAGCGGGGTCAAGGAGCGAGGGGGGGGGGGGGGGGGGGAGAGCTAATGAGGAAGCATCGTTAGCCGTTTCACCGTCTTTTTTTTTTCTTATGTCTAATTGTAAGTCTTATTCTGGGCTCCTTGACCGTTTAAATGTTCTATTGATGTAACTTGCACTGCTGTATGGTGAGAAATTCGAAGTGTTCTAGACCGTTCATAGAAAAATTGCTAGATGAAATTCCTAATTTGATCCAATTTCAGGATGTTGAAGAAGAAAGTCAACAAGCCGAAGAAGAGGACGGTTCTGAAGAGTCACTTCATTGGGATCCGGTAATTATGTTTATTCATCAAATCGTGCTTTGATTACATTCACCAGCCGAGATGATTCAGAAGGATTTCGGGTGGTTGGTCAACCAAAGGAATTAGGTAATATAAACCAGTGGGAAGTGGCCTGATACCAAGTTGCTGGGCTAGGATCGAATTCAGAACGTTAGTTACAATGTGAGACAGACCAAGCCTTCCAACACTCCGCTTTAATGAGGGGGTGCCAAATTCGACTTGTAGAAGAAGCTTTTGACTTTTGACCTCTAAAACGCTGTTAGGGATTCCTTGGAGGGAGGAGAGCGGGGGAAGGAAATCTGATTTGCTGAGAACCAGGAAGGAGTCCAGAAAGAAGTCGGGGAAGTGAGGGGGGGGGGGGGCGGTGAGTGTGAGGGTAAGGGTCTAGAGAAAGGAAGGCTTCCGTGCTTCTCGCTCAATTTCGGTGACGTTCAACTGGATTACCGGTACACTATTATAGGTTGATGGTATGCATGCAGAAAAACAGCTGCCTGTGTCGATGTTAGCCGAGATGTTCGATCGTCAAAGTCCTCAAGAGCGAAAGAAAAGGCAAATCTTTGATCGTCGAATCCGATCAAGTCATTAACAACGTTGAAAACATATCCAGTAATACTAATATTATAGAAGGAAATCCCTAAATAACCCTAAATAACATGTCGAATAGTAGAAGTAACCACAGCAGTTGACTATACCTAAACCCTTTGTGACCCCCCTATTGTTTCGTTCATTACGAGCGAGGGAGTAACCCAAATCCATTATTTTTCAGTGAGTCTGTCGAGAAGACTCCCAGAAGAAAAATCGCATAATCTGTTAGAATCACTCAGTCACCACTCATCGGTATGGATCCGATTCGAACGCCATCACACAGACGCCCATTGAAGACCTCTCACAGACAGCTATTAATTAGGAGAGGTTTTCTAGTCGTTTACTTTCCCCATTGGGTTTGAACCCCCATAAAGATTTTCGTACTTTTCTCAGTCAATCAATGTAATCCTTCACTGAATGGAACAGTCTCGTAATTCCCCTCTAGGAAATCCAGAACAGTCTGGAACAGTCAAGTGTAATGTAAATCATGGTCTGGAGTGATTAATACAACCGCCTCCATCTTGAGATGAAAAAAAAACCTGTTCAAAGTCAAGTCTTATCTTATCGTTTGCTTTTTTGTCTATGACACATCTCTCATTCAGCAGGATTGTGCGCTCCAGTNCATTCAGCAGGATTGTGCGCTCCAGTAAGTCCACCCAGTGAAATTCAAGAGACACCAGACGACCGTAGAAAACCCATCGCATGTACGGCGCAATAAAAAAGATAAAAAAGTCTTTAATCAGAACACAGACAGGGTTATTAAGGTGATTTAGTAGAGGGGTTTCATCATAAGCAGATATTCGTGCCAGGACGCATAGTTTAGACTACTGCTGTATTGCGGGATCCTAGGGGGAAGGGCAGTAGGAACGGTTTTGTGTGATCGACCAGCCGCACGCGGCTGTGGCGGACCGTTTGCCTCGTTATAACAGTTCTAGCCTCCTTCATACAGCTCAGTCGCTACGCAATTATTACTTTTGACGTGATTCTAGTGTTAATTCTTTTGTTACTGTATGTCTCACTTGCTGCTGCATTCTGCTGCATACCTTCGCGCGCGGCGTCTCTCTCGCCGCCACGCGACGATTTCGTTCCTGCGGAACCACACCCCGGGATCCTCGGCTATAAAATCTGACTGTTTCCGTCACGACTCCTCAAAGAATTTGGAGCGTCTCCGTTCCCGTGAGAGAGTAGTAATTTAGGAATAATGATGATAATAGAAAAACAAAAGTAGTTGGCTTCGATACCGATTTCCCTGACTTTGGCGAATGAACCCTTTGTTTACCCTACTTTTCGTTTTTTCCATTTTTTGACCCCCTGCGTTCTCGTAAGTTTTGGAGAATGGGATTGGGCTACTAGTACTTGCTTGGTCCGTTGGGCACAAGGTCACCGCTTGAATAGAGGTTAGGAGAGGAACACGTCAAATGGAAATTATTGTAACGTATCAGTCCCATCCCCTGGTTCGTTTTACTAGCACAAATCATGGGGTTAGAATTGTCATCAGTGTGAACCAAATTTCCCTGACGGCAGCAAATGTAGGGCTTTTACTATAAGTTACCACTAACGCAAGCGAGTAACGTATTAAAGCTTCTTAGGAGAAGTTACAAGCCAAGTAACGCTTCACAAATAACAATAACTTCGCTTAACGGAGGGCACTGCTTATTCTCACCATTTTGAGGGGATAGACGCTTCAAACCCAGCATCAACTAACAAGCTTCAGTTGGGCTTTTTCTCTAATCAAAGGTTATCGATTCTCATTGGGAACCAAGGCATTGGGAACCTTATAAAACGGTGGTTCATTAGGTTCGGATTAGTAATTCTGCTTTTACAGCTTTTCATCGCTAGCACGTTCATATTTCGGTGCTTCAGGGAGCGGAACCGCTTTTAGAGAAATTCGCTCCCAATTCACATTTAGTTTCCCTACCATTACACTCTTTGCACTTGCCTCCACCGCACTATCCACCGAGCTTGCCTAGATTCACTGAAAAAATATTTACCAAAAAAAACCCAGGTAGATTAGTTAGATTAGATTAGATTAGATTAGTAGATTAGCCTAGACCTTCAAGGTCAGAATCACTGACAAAAGAATTTTTAGCAAGCGAAAATCGCTCGCCTCACTCAAAAAAACGCCTGAAAACCGACCCAGGAAATCGCACTAGGCTTTGACATCTTGATTTTTGCATGTAATTTATACGTATTGATTTGCTATATATAATATGTGATCTGTATTGTCAATATAATATGATTTCCTTTGTAATAAATAAATTGCTCAAATGAATCTTTTTCAAAGTTTTCTGAACAGGAAATCCTACATTCCCTTCACCTCAATGGGAATTGCCTTCCCATCAGTATTTGATCGCCTTAGTCATTATCTTTGTTCATTACAGTATCCATAAATCAGTCAACTGCTCTTTATGAGCACATTATAGAATATAAAGAGTGCTTCTAATAACAGACAATAAATGCTTGTAACTTCATCGAACGACGATGGGCGGGGAGGAAGGAAAGGGGGAGGGACGTAGTTTCAAGTAGGGAAGTGTTACACGCACAGACGATCTGGGAGAATTCAGAATGGTTACCCGGGCAATCAACTTCGCATATTCAGACAAAAGCAGTCGCGGAGAAGCCTCGCTGAGCCAAGAAGTTCAGTTGATAAAGAAATATTGTGGATCAGTTACTGGAATTATTACGGTAATAGGATTTCAAAAAAGTATCGAACAGCCGATCTCTGGTCAACTCTTTCATTTGTCTGGGAGCTCCTGTCAGATTTCGAAATCGAGCCCTGGATTAAAAGAATTTTAAGGGAGATTTCTCATTTTACGTATCTTAGGGGCATATCCGACTCTCCTCAATCCTTAGCTCATGACTAGTTTCTAGCTGTCAAACTGGTTTGATGAGGAAGGTGACCAGCTCAGTTGAATTGATGTTTGCGTAAATGTGTGTTAAGTAGTGTTCGAGAGCGTACAAAACTTGTTTGAAAAAATTCGTGGTGGACGGGTTCTGCTGTTTTTTTAAGGCGATCATATGATTCGAAATTTGGTTCTTATCAACTTTACTGGAACTGCCACTTTTGGACCATCGTGACAAAACAGTTCATTTTTCAACGGCTTCATCTAGACTTTGCAGTGAGAGCACGGGCACATGCTCATGACCAGGGATGGGAGATAGGGCACCGCATGGTAGGAGATTAAAGTTCGCCAAAACCGACTAGTCACTCGTCCTTTCAAGTGGTCTGATTTGAAGAAGAATCACATGAAAGAGCAAAAGCACTGTTATGTGTATCATATGATTGCCTGCAGATGTTTGTAATGGACATTCGAATGTTTCATAAGTTGAATAAAAGGTGGGTGCATGGCGCAACCAGAAATTACTCTGAGTGAGACAAATACTCTTTTCTTTGTATGTAGAACTATTAAAGTTCTATTATTGTCTCCGATTTTCAGAACGTCCCAACAAAATCTTCTTACTTTTCAGAGAGCTTTGATAGACATAAGGAAATTCGCCAGCTCAAGCATCCCTTCACACTCCTTCGAGTGAGCTCTCGTCCACCACCACCGGAGGGGATAGGTGGGTGAGGGCGGCGCTTTCAGGTAGGCTCATTCGATGAGCACGGTCGGTCTGTGGCTATTCGTCGCGACCGGCCTTGGTTCTGCCGGTCCGCGACTAGTTCTTGCCCAATATAGTAACGTCTTTCAACTAGTTGAACCTTACTTAAATCCCTATGTAGTGGCACGGCCTCGACATGATTGGATCAATTCAGGTAAAGGATATTGTTACTTGTGTAGATATACAAGTTTGTGAACGCTATTTAGGGTTATTTAGGAAAGTTTCAAGGAGATATTGCTGGCGTCGACCCCGTTCTTCTACGAGAACCGGTGAGACACTTTGTTCTACCATATATTTGCCCAAAAGCTATTTGTTTTCTTAATATGGATTGTCCCCGATAAAGGCTAACCTATCTATATTTTGTGAATACACTTCTTCTCACATTTATGCTGTTATTCAATCCTATATATATATATATATTTATTTTGTCTTTTTCAAAAGTATTTACAGCATCATAGCTATTATGCACATCCAATCGGCTATACGATGCACGGGTCAAGACGAGCATGTGGCGTACTCTGAAATTGGGCCATTTTGTGTCCAGCAAAAACTCGTTGTTGTTCAGTACAGGAGAATTCGTAATTTTCCACACGATAAAAGTCACTACTTGCTGATTTAACTTGTTCCCAAAAGGAGCCTCATTTTTTACCGACTGAAAGGGAGCACTAGGGTAGAACGGATGTTGTGGACACCGGCTGTTGACTTTGCTTTGGAATAAACGGTCAACCAATCGGTCAGAATTGGCTACGTGTCCCTGCCTAAGCGATGTGGACGGGTCCATTTCTTGGAACCTGCTCTCCAGTCACGTCATAGCGGTCTTATGTTTGCTCAACGCTCCCAACATCATTTTCTTCAATCAAAAACCGTAAACTAGTTAGATGAAATTCCGAATTACGTTTTGTCTGGATTTTCTTAGCTTCAAATACATTCCTTAGTTTTTTGGATAGTTTTCATGATACCCCAAAGGCCTGCCCGAAATCCCTACCCAGTAATTCAAATTTTTCTAGAATTTCCTGGGAATTTCCACCAGATTTTTCCTAATAAAATCTACTGACAAAGAAACGAAAGTAGTATTATTTTGTTTACTTGTGTATTTGCTGCTATCACATAGGACTTTCTTGTTTATCATTCCGCTCCTCCGATGATCTCTTGTCTCATTTTGACCAATTCCATGTGGAATGTGACTGCAGGAGTTGAAATGAAAAGCTTATTTCGAAAAACGATTTATGCTTGTGAGTAATAAAATTACTCATAATCGTTTACTTTTATAATAATACTCAAATTGAAAATAAAATATACGCAATGAAAAAACAAATTTCGAAGCATGTCAATAATATAATAAATATAAATAAGCAAATGAATAAGTAAGCAAATAAATAAACAGTCAATTACCATGAGCACAAGGTATTCGGATAAGTGTTATAGGTAAGATAATCGATAGAAGAGTACAATTTTAGAACGGTATGATTTTCTACAACGCTCTGAAAAACAAACAATTGATATGGAAAAATGGAATCATACCGTATGAAATGGATCCAGCGTTCTGTAAGTAAGTTTAACTAATCGCTGCTCTCTTTCAGCATTTTCCTTCCAACACATTTATTTTATTCCCTGGACATCCACTTAACTCTATTCTTTCTCTTGTTGCCCTGGACGGGATAGCACAAACTCGAGGATAACAGACTGAGAGCCTGGGTTCCATAGTGAAAAGAAGATAAAATAGATAGCCCGATATTCATAGAAATCTTTTGGTTTGGCATGGGTCGAAAAACGGAATCCGCAACTCTAACAACTCAAGTGTAGGGCGTTGAACGACTTGAGGCGGTCCTTTCTGAGAGGGTGTGGAATTCTGGTTTCAAAGCTAACTATTATACGTTTTTTGCATCTATTATAGTAGATATCGTTTGGCCCCGATGAGTCCACGTTTACATTTTTCATTTGTGCTCGAATTTGAGTCTCACTGGTGCGCATATCTCTTTTTCTTTTCCGAACTGTTTTTGGAAATCTTTATAGAATATTGAGAAACGAATTCAAAAAAAGGCAGAGTAATAACATGCTCCCACATCTGTCACACTTCTGTTACAGTTCCACACGAAAGGAAGATAATAGAGAAGGCATTTGCTAGCTATCGTAAAAGTACATGCATCCGATTCGAGCCAAGGACTGACGAGCCGGACTATCTGAACATTGTAAAAGGCTATGGGTATGTTTCCCTTTTGAATGCAATGACTTGAGGAGCACTTGCCATGGTTCTCCAACCGAGTTTGATCAGAAGAAATGAAGGAAGATATTTATAAAAAGGCGTTTCCAAGTTGGATAGCCGTCTCAGGTCTTCTTCTATGTTGATTCACTCGCATTTCAGGTGCTATTCACAAGTTGGACGTACTGGCGGTAAGCAGGAGATCTCACTGGGTCGTGGCTGTCTATTTCACGAAATAATCGTTCATGAACTAATGCACTCGGTTGGATTTTGGCATGAACACAGCCGTGCTGGTGAGTGGGTATTCGGTTGATTCATTGGGTTTTTTGCTGCTGTTTTTTAATGATTACTTGTTGCTTTGATCGGCCCTATACGTCCAGGAGGAATCACTTATAGGAGTATCAACACGAAGGGACCTGTCATTAAGGATGGTTCACCTGCTTGAGTGACTTAGCCTATGAATGTCTGTGTTCAGTTTCGGAAACAGAAGATGAATGAAAGGAAATTTCCGTTGTTAGCTTCTGGCTGGCGGCCATTGAGAGGCTCGACGTGCTTGTGACACCACCAGTGGCTGCAGATCCGGGAACACCCTCGAGTTATTTTGGAGCCACTCCGGCTCACGAAGGAAGAGAATTATCCATCTCTATGCATCTCAAATGAGGGTCAGATACTGACGGTAATACTAACATGGGGGAACTGCACGATGTCGATTTTTTTCCTGGGTGGCTCTTATTCAATTACCTACATTCTGTTTGACCTCAATGGGAAGTGCTGCAACATTTTCTTTCCTGAAAGATTCTTTTCCGTGAGAACTTCAGTAGCTGGCTTCCATTTCAGAACTGCAAAAAACAATATTTGTTCGATTTATGAAAATTTGATGTCTATGTTTAAGATGTTTTTAAAAATCTTCCGAAACTTGTGAAGTCCATCGATAATCATTTCTGAACTATTTCCATTCAGACCGGGATGATCATATCCATATACGTTGGGATAACATACTACCAGGGATGAAATCACAATTTGACAAGATTTCCGCTGCACTACAGGTACCGTTGGACTGTCATTCTGACTATACCGTACCGCAAATACCATATTTTCTACTCTATACTACTGTTTACTTTAATTGAAGCGATTTTTTAAAGCTTTTCTTCTTTTAGAGCTGTGGTGAATTTATAATTCCATGTATCCTCCCATTTGTGGTAGGTCTCTGTAATGTTCTGTTCAGGACACCCAAGGCGAACAATACGATTATCGATCGATCATGCATTACGATTCGACAGCATTCTCTCGTAATGGAAAGAATACGATCGAAACTGTGGTCGAAGGATTCACAGACATTATCGGCAGTTCTGTAGATCTGTCGGAACTCGATATCGTTAAGGTTTGTCATCGCATATTCGTTAAAACCTTACAGATGGGGCAGTGGCTAAAAACATTGCTTAGGGAAGACACGTCACGAGATCGAATTCAAGCTGAGTTTTCTATTGCTCATGTTCAATCAGAGGATTATTCTAGGTCATGGGATGTAATCATGAACAATATAGTGAAGTAGGCTGCCCATATAAGGCGTGATTAATATGTGTCATATCCTAGAAGTGTTGATTTATTCCACAAGTTCTGTCCCTTCAATCAATAAAATCGATACATTTTGGTTGTTGAACAAGCCATTCCATACATGTACATGATGGAAAAGGGAACCGGTCCACTTGAAGTCTCTGTTTTTGGGGTGGCTCTCTATCCGTTCACTTTCTGTCGATGTGTGTGTGTGCTCCTCAGTCGTCAATGAACCTTGAGTAAATATAGAGCGCGGGTTTTCAAAGAAACGCCCGAGGAATTATGCTGCTGTGAAAGATGGGGTTCTAGAGGATCCCAAGGGTGCTTGATCAATATAAGGCGGAATCCTGAATCACAGTAATAATCTCGAGTTTACGGGTAACAATCAGTTTATTATAAGTCAATGTAAAGGCCTTCCTCCGCCTGATCCAGGTTCCTAAAAGCTACATTACTTGGGCTTGACACATTTTTCAGAATTTTCTTTGAGTTGTTTCTTTTTCTTATCTAGAATGTAAAATGAATGGTGTAAAAATGGTAGAAAGTAACCGACCTTACAATTACCACAAAAATCCCGAATGGAATCGAAGTGTGGTGCGCCTTCTGAGGATTGCTCCTACGGTACACTATTGATTAACTTACCATTAATCTATACCACGGTCTTCAGATCAATAAACTCTACAAGTGCTCAGCTCGAAATGAAGAACCGAAGACGACCACAGCGACAACGACCACGACCGGATCACCACCTCACAGAGGAAGTGAGTCACCGTCGTGTCGACTTGTGCTTTATTTCGATCGATTGTCAATTTTCTATTAAACAACCAAACGGCTCAATTTCAATCTCAGCAGCGATCTGCTGTCATTCACATAAAGAACACGACAAATAGCGGCGATCCCGACGATTGTCTTCTCGAATGGGGATAGATATTGCTGCTGAGCTGAATGGGTGCAAATATTGATTTATCGAATCTCCCGATTTTCAAATCGAAATTTCCTCAGAGCTATTTTTCTGGGCAGGGATATATAAATCCCTCACTTACTGGAGTGTTCTAATATCTTGAGTAACTCGCCATCAGCTATGAACGACGCCCAGGGCGAGAGTCAAGCTTCTGCCTGTGCCCTTTGGTGGCTCGATCAAAATCTAAAGGTGAATCGGTGGAGAGTTTTGTGGAGGTTGTCTTTCCCATTTAGGATTTTATTCTGTCTCGGCAGCTTTTGCAGACCAGAGACCTATAGACCATGTGCGCAGGATCCTGTCTACTCTCTTCTCTACCATGCAAAGGCATCAGCGAAATAAGTGTACGCAATCTGATTGGCAGTGATCGATGGGTGTGACTTGTAAGTGGGCGGGATTGATGAGATTACGTACAGGGTGCTTATCTCCGCCAGGTCTACTGACAGGATGCTGAGCCGGGTCGCCCAAAGCTACCTCTTCCTTGTGATCGAATAATTTCGCAGACATCTTTTTTGAGTCTCTTCTATTGGTATTTTCAGGGTGCATAGACCACTTCAGTGACTGTCCACATTTCAAGCAGTACTGTCAACGAGCCTCATTCTTCTTCGTCATGAAAAGCTACTGCCCACTTACATGTGGTCACTGTGGACCTACTAAAGAATGACGTACTGATTTCATTGATTACCATCCAGCCGAATTTGGCTTTTTCTCGATATTTGTGGGTTCTCTAGATTACTCCTATTTTGTTTCAAACTCGAGATCACCTTGTTTAGAAATGCCTTCAGTCACCAGTCCATTGTATTGACTCAATATTGGCTGCCCTCAGCTCTTTCTGTATATAATGGGACCTGAACTTTTTAGGAATTTTCAATAATTGCCATATTTTACATAACTCCTTTCATGGAGAAAAGAAGTTAGATGGACTGATTAGAAACTTGTTTGACTCTCTCTTTCGAATGGTATTTATTTACGCTCAAAACCAGTTGCCTTGATATTTATTGTATTTATTGAGTCGGATAAACAAATAGAATGTTATTGAGGTTGATTGTTGCTTTATTTGAATCTGCCTGATGAAACTTTTTTTGGTGTAAAAGTAACAAAATGGTACCCTACATCATCTCACATGCCGGGCAACTAGCTAGTGGCTGAGTTAACCATGCTGTTCGATGAGACAACTAGCTAATAACCACATTGCCCACATGGTGCGCGTGCATATTGACTATCTGCCAATACGTTTGGGTTATACAATTTTTCCTGCTATGAATAGACCTCAGGTAAACAGAATGTTTATCTCTTCATGTATAAATAAACAACAACTTTATTGATTGGTATAGATTTCTTCGAAGGCAATTATGAATCAAGCCCGTGTCTCAACAATACCAAAGCCCCTAGGATCCTCAATGTGCAAAATTGCGTCGATTTGTGGACGAAAGCACCTATGGGATAAACAAAGAGCACATTCCATTGCACTAAATCACTGGGAGGATCTCAATGACCCACTAATTTAACCCATTACAACAAAAAAAAAATCAGGCAGGAAGGATTAAATTATCTAGGGGTCTGTTTACAAAATGTACTTTTAACTTTAAGGCAGTGGCCACGACAATTTGAGTACAAGTAAAAGATGTAAGTACCGCAAATACCAAAGGGTTTGTCGAAAGCTTGCTGACCAAAGCGTTTTGAGATTCGTTTTGGAGGAAATTTCAAGTCGAACTGAGATCACCGGGTTCGTAGGCGAGAGGGGAAGGCAGAGGAGATTGTCAGTAGGGACTATGGTAATGGTTCTACATAATTATGTTATTGTTAGAGATGGACAAAAAAGTCTCCAACCCCTTTCCCCCTTATGGAAATGGCCCCCATTGCTGCAAGTGTTTTCCAACTGTCTGACCCTTGCCCTTTTGACATGATCGTTTCTAATTATGGTGATATAGATAACGGTATTAATTGACGTCTAGACATTTATGTGCAAGCGGTGGAAGCAATAAAATGGCTAAAAATGGAAAACAACACTCAAAGGAACGACCATTCCAATGTTCTGGGCAACAAAAGTGTGGACGAGTTTTCCCGAGCTCCCCTTATAGACGATTTTCTTCTATCAAGGCTCTTTCTGGCTCCTCAGGAAAGATAGTGCATGCACGGTTCAGTTTACACATATTTACATCACGTAGGTATGTAGCAGCAGCGAGATATGCTGCTAGCTTCGTAAACCCCAATCGGAAGGGCGTAACTTTAAAAGGGGCGGGGTTTGTGTGGTCAATTCCGTGTGCATACCTCTGCCATGATTGCTGATTGATCTGCCACGAATTTACTTTTATGACCCATTTCAGTTATCGTGACCACTTTCATAGTAACAGTGCCGTAACGTAAAGAGTACAGTGAATGTAATCTCCCCATTACAAGTTATCATAAATTACGGAAAATTGCTCTAAAGAAGGGGATAGTAAACCCATAGACCTTTCCAGAAGCCTAGAATAGAAACAGAAAGTTTCATCTATGGGTTCTATCCGGTTCTCCCAACCCCATCCATGATTCGGATGGGATTTCCATCAGTCGATTGCAGGATACATACCGGATAGGTAGGTACGCAGGCCGATAGTATCAGCTCCTTGACATGGTTCTTGAGTTCGTGCCTACAACTCTTCTTATCAAAGGTCTTTGTGAAGATCCACCCCTCCAGAAGGCCCTCTTTGACAAACCAAAGAGGTAGCAAGGCTTGCTTACCTATCGATGAACCGTCACTAGAACTTCGTTTGAAGATCACTCGTGGAGCATGAGCATAAGCATGGCGTAACTCGGCCACAAACGACAACACAAACAGTTCCAATGCTAGAACCATCGCCCATTCGGCACTGGTAGCTATCATGTAGGTCAGGTAAAACTGGAACGTTTATACTTAGCGGTTCATTCGAATCGGACCACATAGACTGCAAAGTCAGTCGTTTATGGTTGGAAGTGGCTGTTTTCTTTGCTTTGGATTGCGCCACTAAAAAAATTTATCGCCGACAAGTCCGATGCCATCAAACTAGAAAGAAGGGAGGTTTCCGGATCCAGGCCACCCAAGCCTTCCGCCACATATGCATTCAAAAGCCGCTACAATTCTGATCGGAACATTCAGCAACGCAATTTGCTCTTTTCCAGTTTACAGCGGAACCGTAGCTCAAAAATACATCGGTGTTTGTAAACAATAGCCATGAGTTAAAGGAATTGCAGAAAAAGCCACCGGTGACTCTTTCGTGAACCATTTAATTCCACGCCATCCTCCAGGTGGTTTACCAGCTCCTTTTGGCAAAAATACTTTGAAGAACATGGCCATTTCATCTAAAATATTCGCAATTATATACATGCTACTTTTTTATACTGCGTATACCGTCCAGAACCTACAGAGCGCAAAGGAAACGGTAGCGATCACCATTATGAGCAGTCGCATATGGTTCACTGGCATAGACGCCATTCT